TTTAGGTTTTGTTTTTCAATCTCCACTCTTTATTTTTCTGGAACTTATTTGGGTATAAGGAGTGAGTTAGAATTCATCTTTAGTTTTGGTTATTATTTTCCCCAAATTAGCCAAGTTTTTCTGTAATCTTTCTAAACAATGTATCCTTCCCCCAAATGATATTATAAAATGGTCTTTTCTCTGTAAATTGATATACACATTCTATGTGTTACAAAATAAAATATCATAAAAATCTGGGTGGGAAATTGACAAAAATGATTATTCACCCAGAACAATGAATAGGCAAGAGTTAGCTGTGAGGGATAGCTGACATCAGAACAATTCTCTCTTAGGAAACAACCAAAAAAGTTGCATAAAATACAGAAATGCAGGTGTTCAAATGAATTGACAAAGCAACCACAACATTTAAGACTTGAAAAACCAAAATACTAGATAAAAACAAATTAATCTAAAGTATGTGGATAACAGAAAATAATGAAGATAATAGAGAAATTAATGAAATACAGAGAAAAAGAGTACAACATAGAAAAATCAACAAAGCCAAAGTTGCTTCTTGGAAACACTCACAAAATTGACAACTCCCAAATAAGATTTATCACAAAGAAAACACACAAACTGCCAATAATGGGGTGGAGGGAGGAGATATAAATACAGATACAAAGATATTAAAGATCTTATGAACAACTGTATGCAGTAAATATGAAAATTTAGATGAATGACAAACATAACTTTCTAAGACTAATACAGAAATAAATAGAAAATCTGACTAATGCTATATCTATTGGAATAATTGCAGCTGTAGTTAATTTTTTTCCATAAAGAGAACTCCAAGCCCAGAAATCTTCTAAACATTTAAGGAAAAGAACAGGAATCTGCTTTGTGAAATGTCAGTAACTTTAAAATACAACCTGATAAAGACTAAATAAGAAAGGAGAATTATAAACCAGTCTTTTTCCATACAGACACAAAAGTCCTAAACACAATATTAGAAGATTAAATCCATTTTTAAAAAGTAATAGAAGGAAATGTCATTAATCTGTTAAAGAGTTTCTGTGAATTTAGTGGAGAAATATTGAAAGTTTCCCTTTGGGACTGGGAGTAAGGTAAAGAAGACCCATCAATTTATATCCTGCTCTGTACCATCTAACAAGTGAAAAATGCAAGATGAATAATGATTGGAAAGGAAAAAGCAAACCTATCTTTATTTGTAAACAACATGATTATGAATTATAAGAATTATTAAGTGAATTTAGTAAGGCCCTGAATACAAGCTCAATAAGAAATTAATTGTATATGTGTATCCATCAACAAAAAACTAGAAAAGAAACTTTGAAAAGAGTGCCATTTATAATAGCAACCAAAAACATCAAATATCTAAGAATAAATCTAACAGAAGATATGCACAATGTGTACATGGAAATTATGGACAGAAATTAAAGAAAATAAAAATAGTTATAAGAACATATGAGATTCATGGATTCAAAATTTTAGTAACTGTAAAGATGTGCACTCTATCCAAATTCATCTATACATTTAATGTAATTCCAATTAAAATGTAAGTGGTTGATTTTTGTGCAAATGGACAGACCTATTCCTAAATTCAAATGGCAATGTCAAGAGGCAATAGTGTGTATTTGAAGAACAGCCCTCCAAACCAGTGTAGGCAAAAATGTGAATCAACCAAAACTGCTGACAAGAGTGCAAATCAGTGCTATCACTTTAGAAAACTGTTGGGCACCATGTTCCAGCAATTCAGTGGAAATGCAAACATGTATTCACAGCAGCAAAATTCATCATAGCCCTAAACTGCAAACAACCCAAATGACTACCATTAGTAGAATAAATAAATTATGATATATTCATATAATGAAAAAATAAGCTACTTCTACATACAAAATGAATAATCTCACAAACAGTGCTGAGCAAAAGATGACAAATATGAAATAGTACACACTGTCTGATTCCATTCATTAAAAAACTGATAAACAAGGAAAGCTAACTTGTGATGATGAAGGGCTAACAGGACATAATTGCAATGGGTGTGGAGGTATAGGTAAGATGAGGAACAAGAGTAACTCCTGGGTGCTAGTAATATTCTCTCTTTAAATCCTAAACTATAAACATATGAGTGAAACTCTTTTCTGAGTAATTAAGCATCAGTAAAAACAGTTTTTAGAAAGGCAAAAATAACCAGGAAAATTCTGAAGAAGGTAGAGTATGCGAACAATATATATCTATGAAATGTTACCATGTATTACGGATCTACATTCATTAAAAATAGTGGTATTGGTACAGGACTAGATCATTGAAACAAAGAGCTGGTCCAGAAGCAGACCTAAATGGAAAATCAAAGTTTTATACAATGTGTGTATATGTAAGCCGTTGCTTGCAATTTTGGTCAGTTCAGATGTCAATAAATTAAGTGGCTAAATAGAATTAAAATCCTGACTTATCCGAAGGAAGAAAATATCTGAAACAAATGTTTAATATCATGAGTTGCAATGTAAAATGTATAGGACAAATTCTCATCACATCTAAAAAACCAACAGGAAAAAAAAACCCTGATTTTTTTCATATACTTATTTCCATTTTTAAGGTGAGAAATAGATTAAAATTAAGTGGTGGTACTGGGTAGGGATAACAGATTTTGCTACTGACTGAAAAATGGTCAAAAAGTTGACTACATACCCTTTTGTTTATTATCTCTGTTGAGTTAGAGAAGTGTTTTCTTTTGTTAAACTGGTGAACAGCTATAAAGGAGTTTGTAGCATTTTAAGTGATGGAAGCCACAATTCAAATCAAAAAGTGATTCCTTGGTCTCTTTAATTAAAAACTCCAAGGGTAGATTTTGCTTTGGGAGAGGTTGAACATGGAGTATTAAATGGTATCGTCAGGATAGGACTTCTCTCTCAGATGGTTGTTTCTGGGGATCAGGATGGCTAGCAGCAGCTCCCTTAGCCTGCATTTGACTGAATTGTCATACAGTGAAAAGGTGGGAGTCTTTGTCCCAACACTCCTGCAAAGGCCTCACTGTATTTCTTTGGCTCACAGTGCATCACAGCCATTCTGAATCAAGCATGCTGGCTGGAGAAATGCTTTGGTTTGAGTTGTTTAGTCCCAAATCACATATTTCACATCTGAGCTATAGATGCATCAATCTGGGGGCTGAGAGTGGGGAAGAAGATTAACCTCAAAGGGAAATCAGAGAATGGCCACCAAGAAGAGTTGAATGGATCATAGTTGGAAATAATGCCCCATCTAGACTAAAATACACAGGGGAAGGGGCCCTATGAATTTAACCTTGACGTTCATTTACAAATATGAAAAACTGGATAGCTCTAATGAACTGAATGTTTGTAACCTACCCACCAATTCAGAAGTTGAAGTCCTAACCCCCAAAGTGATGGTATTGGGAGGTGGGACTTTTGGGAGGTGATTAGGCCAAGAGAATGGAGCTCCCATTGATGGAACTAATGCCCTTGTAGGAAGAGACATGAGAGAGATGGTCTCTCTCTCCACCATGTACAGACACAGCAAGCAGGCTACTGTTTGCAAACCAGAAAGAGGGTTCTCACTAGAATCAGATCTGCCTGCACCTTGATCTTAGATTTTCCAACCTCCAGAGCTGTGACAAATAAATGTCTGTGTTTTAAGCCATCCTGTTTATGTTATTTTGTTATGGCAGACTGAGCAGATTAATACAGCCAAATCACTTTGGGAAAAGTAAAGCTTTCATGACATAGAAAAGTATTCCCCATCCTCTATATCTTCCCCACCATGTTCTCAAGTTTTCTGCGGTTATTTGGGTGAGAGAGTTTGTTTAGATGAGCTTTCCTAGAATATGAAATAAGCGCTCAGAATAACTGATGATTGCTGCCTTTGCAGAAATCCTACCTTGCGCCAAAGGAGCTGTGTCTGCTTTAATCCACTCTTTCTATTATTGGTTTTAGATAATGTTTCTGACAAGTTCTGTTTTTCTTTCTGTCAACTGTCAGTAAACAAGTATTGGGCTTTATTTGTAGCACTTAAACACATTACATGAAAATAAAATGAGTTCTTAGAAAGCCAAGAGAAATGCTTCCAGAGACGTTTAGTTCTGAGAATGAAGTTTTAGGAACTTTCAGATGAAAAGTCTGGAATATAAACTAAAATCTTTTCCAAATCTACCTATGTTGTAGGTCCTGGACACATATCCTTTTTGCTTCTAATCTGAAAGTGGGAGAACATTTTTCATGTTGAACTTAAATTGTTTAGTTAATGATCTAAAAATAATTCTAGGGAGCATTTGTCAGCATAGATGTCATTACCCCATGCCTCTGACTGAATTTGACATATCTATTGTGTTCTTGCTGTTTAAACTGATCCCTGGGATTAATCACCTTTTTTTTAACCAGCTAGAAATTGTAGGCATTTAATGGATATCACTACATCAGTCAACTTAATGAGTCTCATTGTCTGAAGTTTAAAATATACTTACTGATCATTCTAATGTTAAACTACAATTGGCATTCATTCTTATTCCAAGTTTCCAAGTTTGCCCTTCCTGCCTGACCAAGGAGAGTATTTAGCTGAAGGGTTTTTTTTCCAGATTCTAGAAACTCAAGTGTGCCTACTAGGTGATATGCAGAAGGATCTAAACATCATTATTGTTGACTACAGTGCACCTTAAGCAATCTTGTAGTTTCAGTTTCTACAACAGAATATCCTGTCATCCCAGTAGGAATTGTTCCATGGAGGATCCATGCTGGTTAAGATAACCCAGGGGTGTCTCTGGCAGCCTTGCAGTTGGAAAGGAGAATGGGAAGTTCACACATGGCTGTGGCATCTGTCACTGGGTAGAGAGCCACAGGAGAGTCAGCTAGCCTGCAAAAGCTAAGTACAAGGCCAAAGGAATTCCTTCCTAGACAGAGAACCATTCAGTCACCAAACATGTTACAGGTTGTTAAGTGGATTCAGACCTGAGTCATAATTAATGATTTTGGTTTCTGTTTTGTTTTCAGTTGTTTGAATTTATGAACTTCTTGGCTGAGAACGTCATCTTCTGTTATATGGGCCTAGCGCTGTTCACATTCCAGAATCACATCTTTAATGCTCTTTTCATACTTGGAGCCTTCGTATCCTTTGAAATATGAACATGGGGTGATGAAAGAGAACAAAGTACTTACTTTTACTGATTATTCTGTTAAATTATTAAAGTAATTCCTTAGGTTTACTACAGGGTGAAATTTAAAGCAGATAAGTAATTTCTCGTTAGGGGCAAAATTTAAGGCAGATAAGTAATTTCTAGTTAGGGGAGAAAAGCATCCTAAGTAATTTCTAGTTAGGGGAGAAAAGCATCCTAAGAAATTCGGAACCTCAATAAATACTTATGGTTCAGTGCAAGAACTTTGGAAAATACTGAGGGAAATAAAAGGAGAGAATTAAAGGAGAGTGGCTTTTTAAAATATTCAAAACATGTTTAAAATGATGAATCATTTACATAAAAATGTCAACCCATTCTTTGTAGAGAAATATAGTAATCTGCATTAGCATGATCAGAAGACAGCCAGGATTATGAAGCTTTAGAAATGTTTTTATTACAAGGTGGTAAAATCTTCTTTCCAATAAGGACTTTGAAAATAGAGTATACAGAGTAAAGACCAAATGAAATTGGCATGATGGATGTGCTTTCAATATCTCAATTATTGTACACATACAAGTTTATTTTAATAAGATAATCCTTTCCTAAGAACAAAATAACAAAACATCTAGACCTCACTTTGAATGCAGATGACTTTTGTAGCTCTAAACCTGGGGTATAGGCATTCCCACTAGGAATGCATATCTGAACAAAAGGATATCGAGGCCCTAGGGATGTTCCCAAGGACGGTCAGCAGCTGCTATCCTCCTTGCCACTTGGAAATGGACAAATGCCTCCTCAGATTGCAGACAGATGCCCTTACAGCCAGGAGAGTTGATCCCTTTGTCAAAGCCCTGTTCTAACCAAGCACCTCCCTGCACTCACCTCCTGTTTTCTCTTCACTGAGTACTCCACCGAACCCTCAAATTTCATTCAAAACTCGGATTTTAGGAGGAAGCTCTTCTTCTGAAATAACTCTACCTGATCTTAGGGCAAATGAAAATAGGTAGATTAGTGATATTCAACATTTTTCATTTCATGGCTCACATAAATTAATTACTAAAATTCTGCAGCACACCAAAAGGCCTATATGAATATTTTCTGCTGATCTGACAAAAATATAGGTATCATTTTGAATCCTGCATACCAGACAACTATCGTTGTGTTGGCTGTTGTCATTTTTTTTTTATTTGACAATCTAAGGGAAAAGAGGTCAGTGTCCCTTACTTAGCAGTCAGGTATTGCATGTTTTAAAATTTCTGGCAGCCAATTGGTTGAAAATCGCTGAGGTAGACTACCAGGGAAGGAGTCCAAGACTACAAAAGGAGAGCAATGACTACCACCAATATTTTCATAAATTGTAACCTTTAAAGTTCGGATTTAGTAAAATGTCTCTTAAAGCATTAGTTGTATTATACACTTAGATAGGCAATTCCTCCAAAATTAAATTCACGAAAAAAAGTAAAATAAAATAAATGAAGCTTGCTAGACACAGGGAGTATAAACTGATGTGAGATGGTAATCAGGAGCCAAAGTGCATTTATCCTTTCTAAAGCAGTGCTTGAGAAGATAATGCCACAGCCTCTGCATGCTCTCTGCCTCCCATTTTGCAGCAGAATTGGACATTGAGTTAGTTATCAGCAAAGGAAATGTGATGAGAAAATGTGCAGTGATTGAAATGGTGTTGTGTTAACAATTGTAAGCCAAATATATATTCAAAGAAATGCAGAGTTCTCTATTATTTCTGGAAAGGAATTTGCATTGAAAGATGAATTTTGGAAGCAAGTTGCACATGCATGTATGCATGTTTATCCCTGTTTTCTGGTTCATAATATAAAGAAAGCGAAGAACATAAAATGTAAAGGTCCAGGGCTCACACATTCAGTGCATGTTTTCCTCAATGTGTCACTGTACTTATCCACAGCTAGCAATTTTTGTTGCCAGAGCCTGCAACATATATCCCCTCTCCTTCCTCCTGAATCTGGGCCGAAAGCACAAGGTCCCCTGGAACTTCCAGCACATGATGATGTTTTCAGGTATGTGAGCTATATTTGACATCATTGCTACTGTTCTCTCACTCCTTCATTATATGGAAAACTATGAGGAGACATAAAGACCTTCTGGGGAAGCATAACTCCTATCTGCCTCATTGTACCCAGTACCATGCTGATACTCAATAAGTTCTGAGCAACAGTGGGATTTTTCTCTCTAGAAAAAAAAAAGGAAAGGAAAGGAAATCTTGTTGAGACAGCTTCAAGATACAGCATCTGCCAGCAATTGGCCAAGAATAGGTATCAGACTTTTTCCTGACCTATTTCAGAGCAATTTTTATATTGCGGAATTTGCATGATCATTTTGTAAATTGTTTACTTGAAGGTGAGTAATTTGTCTGTAAATGATGCCATCCTTGTTCAATGTTAAGGTTCTTTCTCCCTAGAATCCCTGTCTCTTCCCTATGCCAAGCTCCAGGAACTTCTCATGGTTCATACAAAAGCGAATCATATCTAACTATGCTCAGTTATTCGTTGAGAAAACAGGTATTAATTGCACATGCACCCAGTGGCAAGAGCTGTTCCAGGCACTGGTGGATAAACTGACAAATTCTGCTCTCAAGAAGCTTATGTGCTGCTTGCTCCAACCATACCTGGAGGCTCCCTTTTCCAAAAGAAAATATACCAAATGTATTCACTGACCCTGAACTACTCTGGGGATTGTGGTTTCTTTTTATTCAATCAGTTTTCCTACCATTAGTCTTTCCTGTTTGGAAACCTTTCCCCTTACATGCCTTCTAGGTGCATATGCACCCACATTACACTCACAGGCAGTTCATTGGAAAACATGCAAGAGTAAAACAAACAATAACTTCTCTCAGAATAGAGCAAATAAAATTTCAGGTATCCAGGAGGATGTGGACAAAGTTTCTGAAACTATCATTGATTGAATATTTGCTTTTTGCTACTCACTATAGATCAATCCTATAAAGTAGATATTAACCCATTTTTTAGATGGAGGAACTGAAGTTCAGGACCTCAAAGAGGTTAAGTAACTTAACCAAGGACAAAAGCATCCCTAAGCTCAGGTCTGTGGGACACCACTTTAAACACAACAAAGTGTTTCAAAAAACCTACATTTTTAGAAGTAGTACTAGGAATAAAAGGCTTGTTTCACTTTTAGTTTTATTCTAGCCTGTTCCACACAGTAAAGGGTAGCAGCTCCCAGATTGAAAATGAGTTATTTAATAAAGTACAGGCAAATGGAGATCCAGAGTTAAAAATTACTGCCTTGGCAGGGTTGCTCAGTCAGTTGGAGCATCGCCCCATGCACTGAAAGGTTGCTGGTTCAATCCCCGGTTGTGGTGTGTACATGAGGCAACGGATTGATGTTTCTCTTGTTGATGTTTCTCTCTTTCTCTTCCCCCTTTCACCTCTCCCCCTTCTCTCTCTCTCCAACCCTTTCTCTCTCTCTCTCCCTCTATCCTTCTCTCTCCATCTTCCTCTCTTTCTAAAATCAATAAGCATATCCTTAGGTGACGGGTTTTCTCTAAATTACCTTCTATAGGCACCTGACAGTGCTCACCTACATTTACAGACATGCTAGAGTGCAAGAGAGAATCATAAAGAAGATAAGCTGGACTGAGAGGTGACATTTCACTTAGAGCAACAATGAACTTTGACTTATAATGAACAATGAACAATGACTTATATTACAGGAAATCAAAAGGCAAATATGGTCACTTAATAGGAAGTCAGCACTGAGTTGCATTTTTTGCAAAGCATTTCTAGGAATTGGGAAGTACCTTATTTTGTTGCATATAATGCTCTTCCATGTATAATACACATCCTTATTTTCCCTCAAAAATTTGGGCAAAAAGTGCACATTATACATGGCAAAATACAGTATTTTTCCTTCTTTCTCATCAAAACATCAGTAAGTAGCTGTGTTCTGGAGAATATTGGCTTATTTTTAAAAGTTATATATAGTATTTTAAACAATACTTTATTTTACAAAAAATATTTTGATGAAAGTAAGGTTTTAGATAGCTATATTGGGACATGAAATGTCTGCCCAAATGGCTACCTGGCTTGATTGTTTCTCTAGGGTTTGGCATCTATGTTTGTTTAGCCACAGAAGTGGGGCACTGCACTAAAAACTGAGGCCAGCAATACAGTGTGTAGAACCAGGGGATGTGAGGAAGCCCAGAATTTGGTGGTATCTTTCTAAAGCAGGAGTCAGCAAACTATGGCTATGCTGATTCTAGTCTATGCTGATTTTGTAAGTAAAGTTGAAACAGAGCTGGACCCGTTTTTTAAAACAAGTGTTTGTAGTTGTTTTTACACTACAAAGTCAGTGTTGAGTTGTTGCACCAGAAACCACATGGTCCACAAAACCTAAAATATTTACTATCTGGCCCTGTTCTGAAGCATCTCCACCCTCTGGAAAGAAAAGGATAGCCATCCCATTAGTGGGATCGACATTCTTGGTTTAATTTATTGGAATGCCAACCAGCTACTTCTGTCTTAAAAAACAAAACAAAACAAAACATCATGCCCGTATTTCAAGACACCTATATGCATATGTCTATAATGTCCAGAGAATGATACCCTTTGTCTTCCACATTGAACATCTGTGTCTTCTGCCATTCATTGGGTCACTTATTGTTAGTGGTTTAGCAGTTTAACCTCAAGGGCCAGTGTCCTCTCAGCCCAAAATGAGCTGTGTTTATACATTTGACTCGTTTGTTGTTTTATACACCTACCTTTCACTTTGAAATGCTTCTGAACAACAAAGAGATTGGGTTACTTCATATTTCTAGTGCTGTTTCTATTATAAGTTAATAATATTGATGATATTTCCTTATATTATGGAAAGAACATTGAATTTTCTACTAAAAACTGTTGTCCTTTTTAGCTTTAAAATGTGAAGATGTTATATGGTTATGTAATGGAATCAGATGTTCACCTCACAAGTCACTCTATACCTTTCTGAGACCTTTCTCAGAAAGGTGAGCAATGTTTGAGACTTATAGCCAAGGCAAAATAGTAGAGGCATATTGGTCTTTTTTGCAGATTAAGGAGGCAGGGGAGAATATTGGGTATCTTGCTGACAATCTCAAGACCAATTAGAGATGAAATTGAGACTTGAACCAAAGTTTCTTGGCTTTGAATTAAGAGCCTCTCATCTACTCGACACCACTTTAGATTTACCCTCAAGGTCATGAGAACAAAAGTTAAATCAAAACCATGTCCTTCCTAACCCAGGCCAATCCCAGCATGCCTAACATATTCCTCATGCAAACCTAACCCCCATCTAATTCAAAACAAGCCAACACATGGGCAACATCCTCTCTAGCCATTGATTCTGGTTCTACACTGCACTCGCTGACCCCCACCAGAATGTAGGAAGTATAAGTGAGAGTTCAGCACATGCAGGGCAATGCATTTCCTCAAAGGAGAATGCTCCAGACACAGCTTTGATTTTTGCCATGAACTCTGATATGCTATACCTCATTTAAGACCTAGAGTTTTAAATGTATTTGCCAGGATATAAAGAAGGTAAAAGGTCAACTTAAGGTAACCAAACTAGAGGAGGAGGTAAAGAAGCAAATCAAATAACACACCATCTAGTGTGTTTTGGGTGTGTGAGAACAACCCCTGCTGAAACTAAAAGAAAAAGCCCGACTCTTAAAGAATGTGTGTTTTATGATATAGTCTAATATTCTTAATTATGCTTGGAGTGGTCTTGATTATCCAATTAGAAGGGTGACTTTAGAAGTCCTGTGGTGGAATCTAGATGTCCATGCTTCACTAATAAATTTAGATGGAACCTTCCTGTACAAAGCCCCAAACACTTTCACAGTCCTTTGGAGAAGTTAAACAATGACGCTCCATCTGAAATGACAGTGTGAATTTATTTACACACTTATTCATTCACAGTCATCCAGCTACTTGTTCAGCAGACCTTCGTTGACACCACGTCTTGAGTAGGCATTTGGTGAACAAAGACAAAGACGGGGGCCTTTGCCTCAATAGGCTTGTGCCTAACAGAGAGAACTTAGCTTCAGCCCATGCTCCATTCTTAGGATGGTGTACCACAGGTGGTTCAAAGGCCAGTCAGAGAAGAACCGGAACTTTCTGTCTTAGTTAATTAGTCCTACCATTTGATAATCCCTTTTCCATTTCTTTGCTCTCACCAAATGTGCATCCTTTGGCACTGGGCAGAAGAGCTCGCCATTCCTTCACAGCAGAAGATTCATTTGTAACGTTAACAAAGCTTAAGTTTCAGCCTCCCTTGTTTAAGCAGGCTTCTTCCAGGATCCTGAGAGGACCTCGGGGCCCTAGCAGTGTGTACTGTGGTATAGAGAGTTTTTGTAAAAGATATTTTTTGTATTGTTTTTCTTTAATAATGCCCCCAAAATGTGTAAGTTTCTTAGGCCCCACAAAATCTGATTCAGACCAGTCTCCAAATCTGGATAAGCCTGAAGATGAAAGTTACAAAGGAATCCAGCTGCTTGTTACTCACCTCCTGGCAGTGAGTGGGGCCTTCAGTAGCACTGAAACAAGGGCCTGGAGCTCTGTCAATGGCTCTGGGGCAGCAATGTTTTTTAGCAAAGCTCACATTGTTCATGATGTTCCCATTGCCACCACTACCACCCTCCACCCCCGCCTCTACCTTTTTCCTCTAGAGTAAATTAAACTGAGTGGAGCAACTGTCAGGGCCCAGATTGAATTTCTCACTTAGCCAAGACCCTACCTAATTCATGTTGTAATCTGCACCCACACAAAGCTTGGAAACGGAAAATGAGCAACATTGTCAAGGTCAGGAGTAGTTGTCTCTATCTTTTCTGTCTTGAGAAGCTGTTAATGCAAATTCTGTTTTTGGTAGCTAGGTTGCAGTCAAAGTCAACTGGGGAATATTACCCTGAAACATTTTTAAGAGTTTCTTTAGAATCAAGGCCAGGAGTTTGAAACTGCTCTGCTGTGTCATGTGACACCAACACGAAAGAATTAAGAGGATGCTGAGCTCTCCTTGAAACTGT